AAACTCTGGTCATCAAGCTATGTAACAAATCACACTCTACAACTGGGAAATAAAGACTCCCAATGTATGAAATAGTTTTTTGTGCAGATGAAATGACACAAAAATTGTGCATTTGCTTAATAAAAAGTAAGACAGCCATAAAATAGTAAGTTGTAATTGTAGCTTGATGTACTCATCTTCATTAAATGAGCATGCCAAGTACCAGGAATCCCTTTCCCAATTGTAAGTAATAGTCTCCCTTCCCACGTTGTCAGTAATCAAACCATTTTGAGAGTGGTACTCTCTTCTTCTACAACCATCAGCGGAGAGTCGAAGTTTCCTAAGCAGGAACTTTACTTCTCTTGTGATAAAATCTGTAGTTCCTAGTTTTACTCAACAGAGCCAATGCCCTCTCAGCTATGCCTTTAGTGCCTAGTGTTACTTAAAGGGACACTATAGTCACCAAAACAACTTTAGCTTAATGAAGCAGTTTTGGTGTATAGATCTTGCCTCTGCTGTCTCTCTGCTCAATTCTCTGCCATTTAGGGGTTAAATCACTTTGTTTATACAGCCCACTCACACCTCTCTGCATGTGACTCACACAGCCTTCCTAAACACTTCCTGTAAAGAGTCATCTAATGTTTACACTCTATTGTACAATCTGTTTAATTTGGATTTTCTTATCTACTGCTCTGTTAATAGCTTGATAGACCCTGCATGAGTTTCCTGTGTGTGATTAAAGTTCTATTTTCAGAGCAGGAGATAAAAACTTTTAAGTTACGTATATATGATTGAAAATGAAACCATTTTGTTTTCATGCAGGCTGTGTCAGTCACAGCCAGGGGAGGCATGGCTAAGGCTACATAAACAGAAACAATAGTGATTTAACACCTAAATGGCAGAAAATTGAGCAGTTAAACTGCAGAGTCATGACTTATACAACAAAACTGCTTAATTAAGCTAAAGTTGTTTTGGTTACTATAGTGTCCCTTTAAAATGGGTATGGTGATATTTGAGTCCAGTAGCTCACATACATTATGACCAGTGTCCTGTGTTGAAAGAACTAGCGTATGCCCAATCCGCTAGTCTTCAAGCTTTTGACAAATAGGCTGTAAATTAACTATCCTAAACCCATCAGTTCTCCAAATATGCCCTAACCTATCCTCCCCCTTAACTTTAATATGAAAAAGAACTAACAAACTCTAAATAATAAAATTGATTTCACACTTTCACTTAACATTTAAAATACTGTTAAAATATTTATTTCACTATCAATCCCATTGTACAGCACTACAGAATTTGCTGGCGTTATATAAATAATAGAATAATAATAATAATAATAATTAGACTTATGCGGGGTAAAAAAAAAGGGGGTGGGGTCCCGACAAATCAGTTCTGACAAAATTAAAATAAAAAAAGGTTTCAGGACGCAAAGTTTCAGCTGTATTGCAGTTCGGCTTGGCCACATTTTATTAACAAAAAATTAATCAGATTAACTAAAAGACATGAAAATGAGCCAGTGTACTGCAAAATATATATATACATACTATAAATATTATGTAGATATTTTGCTGTACACTGACAGGAACATTTTGGTTTGCAGATCGCGTGACAAATAGTAAACAATAGATGGAAAAAGAGCAGGAGAAGTAAAAAAAAAATCTATATTTATATATTATTTATTAAATGTATAACATAAATATATAGATTTACCCTTCCTGCTTTTTATTTTCATTGGTAACTTCTCACTTAATTGTTGAATAAAATCAACATTTAGTGGCTGTCCCCTAGCCATCAACCATCTTTTTCCCATCATTCATCTCTTTTATTGGCGCAGTGGGCGGAATTTAGAATCATGAATCAAGATGAACATGCTTGGACATTTGTGTGTTTTGTTTGGACCCTGATTTGGCTTGGAGATAGGGAATTTGACTTGACTGCTGACCCAACCAGTCCCCCAACCAACAAACGGCCACAGCTTTATTTAACATAATAATTTTAACTTAGTCCAACTCTGCCAGCTGTTGGGTGTTTCCCAACACGCAGTTCTCCCAACTTCTGTCCCATGAGCCTCAACAGCCGGCTCCTCGCCATCAGCTCCGTGCAGGCTGTCGTCTCCCCAAAGTTCCTTTTTTTTCTTCTGCGCTGTCCAGGGAAACCCGCCAAGCTGTGACAACACAAAACAAGAAAAACAAGACACAAGCCACAACACCAGAAACAGGGGGGGAGGGGGGAAACAGCCAGGAGCCCTCACTTAACCTGCTGACTGGTAAGTCCCCTCCCTCTCCCTTTCCTTAATAACCACAAATGTATCAATTTTAACCCTGCCCCCAATCTTGGGCATCAGTCATGCTCCCCCTTCCTTATTCTTCCGGAGGGAAACTGATCATCTGATCGACCCAAATTTGAACAATTTGCGGCTATCAAGGAAACAAATCTCTAACACTACTATCAATAAGTGTATCGCTGTAATTCGATAAGATTATTATAGAAGACATCAATGTAACTGAGTAATGTCAAACATTATTGACAAGTTAAATGAATGTTGGAACATCATTTACACATTTACAGAAAAATACAAATGGATATAAACATCAGCAAGTCTCAGCCTCATGTCACACATACCTCTAATCTTATAAAGTGCTAACATTTAGCCTTTTGTAATGGAGTAGATTAAAATTAATGCTTCAAACTGCGAAATGACCACACACTGGCTCAGTTTTGTGAAAAATTACAGATTGTTCCTGTTTGAAATATATTCATTTTGATATTTTTCCTAGAAGTAGCAGCAATCAAAACGAGCAAAAAGATGAACCTAAGTTCATCTGAATGACGATATTTGAAAAAACAGTGACGCATCATCAGGGAACTGAGACTGTAGCAGTCACACTGATAGCAGAAAGAATCACTGTCTATTCCCCCATAATTGCCATTTCTTGGTTGAAAGTCATGCATTTCCAATTATTCTGAAAACATCAATTTTCTACTTTATTAAAAGTAATCTGTACTTTTAGAAAATTAGGCCCATAATATCTCAGGATACCACACAAACAACTGTCCCATTCAATATCATAAGAAGTGACCATAACAGCACAGGTTTATTGCTCACAAACAGTATATAGAGTAAAATATAGCAGACACAATCATCTCACAGTCTGCACATGGTAATATAGGTATATCCAATGACATACAAATGGCTTAAAATACTAAAGAAGAGACACATGTACCTGTAACCGTGTGAGGGATACGAGGGGAAAAGATCGGACAGATTCCCAAGAAGCTTGATGGAAAGCCCCCTAAGGGGATGAATGCGTTTCACGTCTGTAACAACTGTTTATAAACATAACATTAACTTGGAAGTTATTGGACTATAAGAAAAAGGGGCAGTCCCAAAAATACCTTCCTCCTCCTCCCAGGTAACAGGTTCAGGTTTACAAGTTAACCATCACTAATGAAAGGAACCATGTCCCCAATCAAAAAGATGAAAAAAGAGGGATGGGGGGAGGGCCCAACAGCCCAATGTATACAAACTAATCAAACTAGTAACACGATGTGGCGTAATGATTATAAACGTTCACATTCAGTTCTTTCTAATAAAATGCATGGAACAAGAGAGCATTAAAACGTAGAAACTATACTGCTATTAGTTCTTGCTTGTTAACATGACATCCCATACAAGGGTGCACCGCCTAAACTTCACTATTCTTCACAACTACTAATTCCAAATAATGTCCAAATTAACCCAAGCAGAAGAAGAGAACCGGGAACAGACCATAGAATAGGAGAGCATTCAAGTAAAAAATACTATAACACTACCACACGATAGAGAGACAGACAGACAGATAGATAGATAGATAGATAGATAGATAGATAGATAGATAGACAGATAGATAGACAGACAGACAGACAGACAGGCAGATAGGTAGATAGATAGATAGATAGATAGATAGATAGATAGATAGATAGATACATAGATAGATAGATAGATAGATAGATAGATAGATAGATAGATAGTTACAGAGTGTCACACTGCAGTCTTCGTGCAACATATTGGCATCGTAGCATAGGGTAAGAATGGCTCCACATTCTGTTGCCTCAATATCTTCCAGTGTATCATTAAAGGGTTTAACCAAGCACCGTGGCTATTTCATTGATTTGAAATGATCACAGAGATTAACCCTTCTGCTTCCAGACGTGTGACTCCACCTCCGGCAGCAACATATGGTCATCATTGGCCAGTCTGGAACTTGCTCTGTGTTCTTGGGAGCTAGTGTTAATTCTGCGCAAAACTGATATCTGATGACAGCACACACATCGTGCTGGTGCCAGACAGCCCATGGCGCCCATCAGTCGAGCAAGATCTTGGTAAGGGAGAATTTGGCCTTGGCATTGGAGAGTAAAGTAAGTTTCAGCTGTTTACATTTTGTGGAGACAGACCAGTAGGGCAAGGTTTAATTTAACAAAAAACTGTGTTTTACGAAGAACAGTTTTCTTGGTTAGAGTGGTCCTTTAAGGGGAGAGGCACTGAATTAAGAGTGGCCTTAATATGTCCGCGTTTTTGCCCCTTTGTTTGTTTGTTTTAATAATGTATATTTTTGTTTGTTTTAACAATGTATTTCCTGGTGAAGTGGTATTATAGACATTGAAGACAAGTGGTGCTATTTCACAAAAGAGGGGAGCTTTACACTAAGGGTGTTTACATTAATTTAAAAAAAAAATAGCTTGCTTCTTCAAATGCGTAATTGAATTTGTTTCCATAAGAGTTCTTTTAATCTGTTTCTAAGGCAGGGCACTCGTGTTTCAGAAATACTAAAAATAATTAAAGTAGAAGTATAAGCAGTATAAGCAGTATATTAATAAGTAAACGTTTTCACACTGAACAAGGTTTTAAGATATTAATTGTAATAATTGGCAGATAAGAGTTAGACATTTAAATGTGTAAGAAAATGTGAGTTTTCGCCACGAACGGTTCGCCACGGACTCATCATTGAGTAAACTTTGACCCTGTACCTCACAGTCAGCAGACACATTCCAGCCAACCAGCAGCAGACCCTCCCTCCCAGACCCTCCCACCTCCTGGACAGCTCACTAAGAATGCAGCTTCACAATGAATGTAAATGGATGCTGTCCAGGAGGTGGGAGGGTCTGGGAGGGAGGGTCTGCTGCTGATTGGCTGGAATGTGTCTGCTGACTATGAGGTACAGGGTCAAAGTTTACTCAATGATGAGTCCGCAGCGAACCGTTCGTGGCGAACCGTTCGCGAACTGTTCGGCGAACCGTTCGGGACATCACTAATTATTAATATTGTCATAAAATAACTTAATATAAAAATAATATGCATGAAAGGCGATTGTTTTCTCATTATCTACTTGAACTTCATGAGAAGCAAAAGTATGAGAAATAGATTGACAGGTCTGAATGAATCAGTGATCTCAAATAATTATTTTAATTGGAATGTCATAGCTTAGAGAAATCATACATTACATTTAAAGGGAAACCTTACACCATATGATTCCATATTGTTATAATACTTTCCAAATGATTAATCTACAAAAACTTCCATATACACCCTGCTCCAAATTATTATGAAAATTAGATTTTTCTCATTTACCTAAATAATTGATGTGAATAACAGTCAGCATAATTCTCATGTTAATAACTATTAAGAACACAATTCAAATTTTATTGAACAAACCTCCTAATGATAACAGTATTTTTTTTAAAACATAAAAAACTTAAAATGCACTGTTCCAAATTATTACGCACAGTAAGTTTCAAAACACTTTATAGGTTGTAAAGAACTGAAAATTGTCATTTGTTGTGTTTGCAGCATATTACTGAAATCAAAAGCTATTTCAATCAAACTTATAACAACATTTTAACCTTTTAAACATTTTAACATTGGACCCCTTATTTGATAGCAGCTTCACAAGTCCTGCATCCATTGAACTTGTGAGTTTTTGGACAGTTTCTGTATGAATTTGTTTGCAAGATGTCAGAATAGCCTCCCAGAGCTGCTGTTTGGATCTAAACTGCCTCCCACCCTCATAGATCGTTTGCTTGAGGATGCTCCAAAGGTTCTCAATAGGATTGAGGTCAGGGGAGGATGGAGGCCACACCATGACTTTCTCTCCTTTTATCCCCATAGCAGCCATTGATGCAGAGGTATTCTTTGCAGCATGAGATGGTGCATTGTCATGCATGAAGATGATTTTATTACGGAAAGCATATTTCTTCCTTCTGTACCAGGGAAGAAAGTGGTCTGTCAGAAACTCCACATACTTTGCAGAGGTCATCTTTACACCTTCGGGGACCCTAAAGGGGTCGACCAGCTCTCTTCCCATGATTATGGCCCAAAACATGACTCCACCACCGCCTCGCTGACGTTGCAGCCTTGTTGGAACAGGGTGGCCGTCCACCAACCATCCGCTACTCCATCCATCTGGACCATCGAGGGTTGCACGGCACTCATCAGTGAACAGGACTGTTTGAAAAGTAGTCCTCATGTATTTTTCTGCCCAATGCAGCCATTTCTGCTTGTGAGCATTGGTTAGTGGTGGCCAAATAGAAGGTTTATGCACAGTTGCAAGACTCTGGAGGACTCTACACCTTGATGTCCGTGGGACTCCAGAGGCACCAGCAGCTTCAAATATCTGTTTGCTGCTATGTAATGGTATTTTAGCAGCTGCTCTCTTGATCCAATGCATGGATCTGGCAGAATCTTCCTCAATGTGCCTTTATCTGCACAAACCTGTCTGTGCTCTGAATCAGCCACAAATCTCTTTGTGCGATGATCACGCTTAAGTTTTTCGTGAAATATCTAATGTTTTCATACCTTGTCGAGGTAATCTAATTATCACAGATGTCCGTGATTGTTTTCAGTGATCAAGAGCCCTGAAACACAATGCAATCCATGAGTTAAACTGAATAACAAAATATTTAATCTTTGTGACACTTAAATAGAATTTGCATAATCATTTGGAACAGGGTGTACTTTAATAGTGATTTCTGTAGATAAATCACTTGTAAAGTTTTTCTAACAATATTGAAATTTGGAAAACCATATTATATTTGGAGAGCTTATTAAATTGAGATTCCAAACCAACGTTATGCTTTTGTTTCTTTCTGTTCCATTTAATATTTTAAGTCTTGGAAAACGACATTTGACATATGAATCCTTTCTGGATCTAGAACCCTTCGTAACATTATCTAATTTAAATACTGATGTCCCTTTTAATGACTCTGGCCGTGCATAGTCATTATGGAAGGAAAACACACACAGTAGATTGCTTAAAGGGACACTCTAGTCACCACAACAACTACAGCTTAATGTAGTTGTTCGGGTGAGTATAATCATTACCTTCAGGCATTTTCCTGCAAACACTGCCTATTCAGAGATGGCTACTGGAGATGCTTCCTGGGGCAGTGCTGCACAGTAGGCAGTACTGCTGTTCAGCATCTCCATGCTCTGCATGGGGACGCTGAATGTTCCTCATAGAGATGCACTGATTCAATGCATGTCTATGAAGAAGTACTGATTGGCCAAAACAGCGTTTGGGCCCGTCCCTATCCTGCCTTCTTGCCGATTTTAGCCAATCTAATGCATTACCTATGTGAAAGCACTGGATTGGCTAAAAAGCGGCAATTCTGATTATGTCATCAAGGAGGTGGATCGGGGGCAGGGTCAGCACCGGCGGACCCGTGCGTCGCTGGAAATAAGGTGAGTTTTAATTTCCTTTAAGGAGGCTGAGGGGGGTACACCACCTAAATGGTGGGTTTAACACTATAAGATCAGGAATACATGTTTGTACAGGGGTACATGTTAATACAGGGGTTCCCGACCCAGTCCTCAAGTACCCTCTACCAGTCCAGGGTTTAGGGATTACCCTGTTGTGTCTAAAGTGTTTTTATTTCCTTTGTTAAAAAAACCTTGGACACAACTGGGTAATCCCTAAATCTTGAACTGGTAGAGGGTACTTGAGGACTAGGTTGGGTACCACTGGCTTAATAGGATCATGCACTAAAGGTACAATTGTTGTGATTTTTAAAGTTATTCTCAAATTTAAGGCAAATGTAGCCGAACTACAAACTTAACCCACTTGGATAATTTGGCAAGTTCAGCTATTTTGGTCTTATATTTTATATTAATTTTGCATTCCAACTTTAGAATAAGCATGAACCCTGTTCTGATGAGAAGCAGAACTCTCACTTTTTTCTTTTTTTCTCATGCCTTATCCCAATCTGAATGAAAAGTTCATCCAGCCATAATTAGACTCCTGCGTGACCTTGACCTGGTGTTCCTCTTTTTCCCTATCCATCTTCAAAGGTTGGCAACAGCGAGGACTCTTACCTGCACTACCCAAGGGAAATTTCTTAGGGTACATCAAATACTTTTTAAGCCATCAGGGACTCAAGGTCCATACTCTCACAGGATCTGAGGCAATCCAGGTCATCACATCACTCACAAAGTAAGACACAAAGTCCCTTTTGTATAGTTGTTCTGTATTGCCTGGTGTTCCAGAGAAACACAGTTCCATGACATCTGTCTCCTGTAGATGTTGTCTCAGACATGTTTGTCTAAAATTCTGTGATCAGAGATATATAAAAGCAAAGCTGAGACAACTTTTTTTTTTATTTACGTGTCATAATGTGACTAAATATAGCAATACAGGTTTGGCAAATGGTGGCACCTTGTGTTACTTTTTGCTATATCCCATTGGCTATCAGATCCAGCAGGTGATGAAAAAAAAAGGTATTTTCTTAATTGATTCCCCACGGCAATTCATTGCACATACACAAGAAGATCTGTGAACTGTAGCGTAATATATGTGCTCATGGGATGTTCCACAGACCACAGTTATGTTATATTACATATTATTCAAACATGAAATGATTCGTGCTGTCATCATCTGCTAGGAGCTTGGAGAGGTAGATGGTTGCACCAAAGAGTAAGAGAATCATGTATGATTATCTTCTATTCCCTTCTCTACACAAAGACATGTCAAATGCAGAAACCCAACAAATAACAATGATCAATATATGTATGAGAGTCTATAGTAATATAAACATTTTAGAATCCTGCATAGTGAAACAAAAAGGCAAATATATTATTATGAATTCACTTCAATGCAAAACTCCTTTTGTTAGTAATGTTCTATTGGAATTTTAAGTACTTAATAGTCCAAGCTTTCTGTGTATCTCAGTTAGACATTACACTATCTTACAATTTATGTTTATATTGCTCTACTGGGAGTAACCACATCATAAATAATTCTAAGTACAGGCTACATCAAAACTGCTGTCAAACTAAGGCCTACAGTTTAAGCCTGTATTTGTTCCAAGTAGCTGAAACAGTAATTTGTATTTTTCCAAAGAAGGACTGCTTTTAGCGTGATTGTTGAAGGATTATATCTATAGACCAAAAAATTACTTCGAGCACAATAAAAAAGAAAAGAAAAAAAAACTTTTTGAAATGGTCTTTTGCTTTTAAACCTTCGTTGAATGAATTGGTAAACCTAGTAAGGCTTAATATAGAAGGTCACGAAAGCACCAGATTGTGACAAATCACAAAAATATATCATAATCTGTCCTTGCAGGAGGGTGAAAAGGGTGAAAATATATTGGTCTTAAAAAGAAAAAAACACAAACTAGCCAAACAATCAAGCTATTATTGTGACGGACCGCTGGCACTCCGACTGAGTACCTCCGCCAATCGATGCTCCTAGTGCTCGCTGAGGACTCCAACCAACACCATCAGCACTGCAGACCACACTCCCAGTGATGCAGCTGCACCGGGGTCTCGCTGTCTCCACCCACCCTGGACCCAAGGCCAGGATCCAGCTTCCAGTGGGTTAACCTCTCTTTCCCCAGAGAGCAGGAACAAGCTCTTAGCAGAGCTTAGTGAATATACCCTGGGGAGTATAGTGAATATAGCAATCCCCAGAGTGTAGTTTTCCAATCCCCCAAACATGAGCCAAGGCTTAATGCTGGAACAAGACTTTACTGGAAGTAACAACAACAGGTATTCAAGCTACAGTTTCTTTTATGCCCTGCTCCCATGCAGGGGAGGGACACACACGTTATCTACAGTAGCCAATAAAACAGAGGTTACAGCCCACACAAAATCCTCCCCTCTGCCTGTGATTCAATTATCTTATACAATAGAAGATGCAATTATCACAGGCAGGAAAAATACAGTTTTTACAGCATATTCATAACTTCTAAAATATACATCACATTCACATAAAAATTATATATTCACAATCAATCCATTCAGGGAAACAACATATCAAAAAATGGCATGAATCAGACCAGGGGTTCAGAAGTTAGTAAATTATCTTTTGGGGCCTGGCTGGCAGCATGGCTATCTGAAGTTTTGCTTACCTCCTCCTCCTGGCATCCCTGCGGGGTTGGTTGGGGATGTGGACCGCCCGTCCAGCATTACTGTCGGACTGGCACAGAGACCGCGGTCCCATCTGCGCCAGTGTGTTTAGGGTTGTTTCCCCCTCTCACCCGGTATCTCCTGCTGCGGTGGGAGAGGGAGGCTGGCTGCCCCCACTCCCTAGGACGCTGGTTGCTGTAAGGTGGAGGGATCTACCATCACCAGCTCCTGGAACTCAGGCCGCCGCTGGGGAGAGAGACCGATTGTCTCCTCTCCCTGTGAGATGCACTGCCGCTGGGGATCTGGGCCGGGTACCCAGCATCCCTGTAGGGCCGGTGGAGAGACCTGAGTCCCATTACCACCTGCCATCTGTGGGTCTTCCCAGGACCGTTCTATAAGGTTGCACACCTCTGGGGCTGGTTGAACAGAAGAGGGTACGGTGACCAGGTAATCCTCTGGGCTGAGGGCCGGTGGTTGGGCTAAGTCGAACAGTTGATAGTACTCCTGTTCTAGCTCCCATTCAATTGTGATTAGGCGGTTGATATCTGGTCCCAGTCCAGTAGTATCAGGGAGCTCCAGTGCATGCAATCGCCATCCCCTGATGTCCCAATGCCGGGACTCCTCGGTGCTGCCAAAGTCACAGTCCTCCACCAATGCCTCCCATAACAGACCAGGGCCATCGTAATCACGGCCCTCTGGCCTTTCACTCTCAGCCATCCAGGGGCACCTCTGGACCGAGAACCACCGTAGCGCACGGTAAGCCTCATCCAGCCACAGTTCTTTTCTGATCAACCTCTGCTATTCCAGCACTCACTCTCTCTGGGGCAGATACCCTAGGAAGGGCCTCCTCAGCGCCGTTTGTTTCTGACTGCGCTGTGCTTTGCTTGGGAGATTCTCTCCTCCTGGGTCTCGTGTCCACTCCAAGGCCTCCTGCTAGAGATCTCGTCATATCCCATCTCTCCAGTCCAGCTCCTCCTCGGCTGAAATCGGGCCACACTCCTGGGCCAAGGCATTTTGTAGTCTCCATAGGAACTCCTCCTCGTAGGGTGACGCTACCCGGGGGCTAGCTTGCTTCATCCCTTCGAGTTCCTCCAAAGTCAGGGTCGCTGCACGAGTGCTAGCGCTGCCCTCAATTATAAATCCATAACTCCACACGTTACCTGTGTCTCCGAGCTGCTGGTCCGCACACTAGAACGCCATCCCACCGCTGCCACCAAATGTGACGGACCACTGGCACTCCAACTGAGTACCTCCGCCAATCGATGCTCCTAGTGCTCGCTGAGGACTCCAAGCACTCCAACCGACACCATCAGCACTGCAGACCCCACTCCCAGTGATGCAGCTGCGCCGGGGTCTCGCTGTCTCCACCCACCCTGGACCCAAGGCCAGGATCCAGCTTCCAGTGGGTTAACCTCTTTTTCCCTAGAGAGCAGGAACAAGCTCTTAGCAGAGCTTAGTGGATATACCCTGGGGAGTATAGTGAATATAGCAATCCCCAGAGTGTAGTTTTCCAATCCCCCAAACATGAGCCAAGGCTTAATGCTGGAATAAGACTTTACTGGAAGTCACAACAACAGGTATTCAAGCTACAGTTTCTTTTATGACCTGCTCCCATGCAGGGGAGGGACACACACGTTATCTACAGTAGCCAATAAAACAGAGGTTACAGCCCACACAAAATCCTCCCCTCTGCCTGTGATTCAATTATCTTATACAATAGAAGATGCAATTATCACAAGCAAGAAAAATACAGTTTTTACAGCATATTCATAACTTCTAAAATATACATCACATTCACATAAAAATTATATATTCACGGAATTAGGCCGACCGGACATGGAGTAGGTCGCATATCCGCGAGGCTCTGTGATCCCGGCTCCTAAAGCCCCTTACCACTAGCGCCCCTGCAGCCAAATATGGGGAAATCTAAGTGCCTGGCGACCCCTGGACCCTCAGGGTCGGCATCACCGAGGCGTCCGGCGGGTCCCATGGATGGATTCCTGTCAACCCCGGACAGCCTAAGACCCATGCGCCCGACAGACAATATGGCGCCGGACTCGCCGGGCGCCGGCAGCACGACTGACTCTCATGCAGGATCGATGCAAATGGACACGTTATCACAAATTTCAGCAGAACTAGCTACAATTGCCTCAAACATGCTGACTAAGGCTGATAAAACAGCTTTGGTGCAAGAAATGAGATCTGCCATACGAGAAGAGATCCAGGAGGTGCGGAGTGATCTTAACGCCCTGGAGCAACGAGTTACTGAATTGGAAGCAGATTGCCTACAGGCAGCCCAACATTCCCAGGCAGCGGATAACGCCACCTCAAGGCAAGGCACGGTGCTTCTGGACCTGAGGAGACAGGTTGAAGATCTAGACAACCGCGGACGCCGTAATAATATCCGCGTGAGGGGTCTAGCTGAACAAGCTGGTGAGGATCTTATAACTATATTGACACAGCTTTTCACGCAAGTACTGGGGGAGGAAGCCCCTGACACCTACCACATTGAAAGGGCCCATAGAGCCCTCCGCCCCCCAAGAACCGACGGTCTCCCCAGAGACATCATATGTTGCCTTTTATCCTTTCAACTGAAAGAGGCCATCATGCGGGCAGCTAGGACACAGACTATCACCTTCATGGACACGCAGATCTCACTATTTCAAGACCTGTCCCACCTGACGCTCGAAGCACGGAGGGCTCTGAGGCCGCTTACCCGTCTGCTGCAAGACAGGAGGATCCCTTACAAATGGGGCCATCCATTCAGCCTGCAGGCCCGGAAGGACAACTCATGGCGTACAATGCGATGGCCGAATGACGTACCTGGCTTCCTCCGAGCCCTAGATCTACCGGCGGCAGCGATTCCCAACTGGATCCTCATGGGCCCACCGCAACAAGCCTCAGACAGCCACCAGCGGGCAACGGACGGGGTCGACCCCCAAGAAGAGGAGGTCCAGATGGCTCGGAGGAATAGAGCTTTCAAGCGCCCAGATCATGCTAACCCTGAGGACTATGACCACCCGACCAGCCGGAAGCAGGCCCGCGGGACTTAGCTTACCGCCCCTCCGAACACCAACACCCAGGACTTGGCTGTGCAGACGCCAATAGCGGTATGTACCCCACACCACTACCGTATAGCCGCTCCCGGCTCACCCCGGGGTCCCTGCTGCCCTTTAAACACTGACTACCAGGTTCCCCACTCACAACAAGCCCACACCCTGCTACGGGCTTGGCCCGCCCTGAGTTTTTGGTTGCTGTGAATCCCTGGCCCAGGACTAACAAGGCCAAGCTACAAGGGTAGGGAGTAACGACAGGGGGGGGGAAAGACTTGTTTGGGAGGGGGGACCAGGTCTTGAACCCTGCCCACTCACACCCTGGATCACAGCTCATCAGGCTGCAGACGTCCCCCAAGGTACACAAGCGGCCCACGAGCCTGGACATAACATTGGCGCAGGGGCACATGTATAGCGCCCACCTTGCTACGCCCTGAGGCTCACAAAATTGATAGTATCTGACCGATCCCCTTGGGTCATCAGGTTACCTGTACGGGGGGAGGGGATGGACCTGGGAGGGGAGCTGGGGAAGGGGGCCTGCCTGACGTGGAGAATGAGTCCACAAGCCCTGACGAGTGGGGATGTGCTCTGACAGACCCAGATATGGGGATCCAAGGGGACCCATAACTTCCACTAACTAGGCCCACTCAGGGGACTGACATGAGACCTAGACGCATACTAGCCCCCCGGGAAACACGAGGGGACCGGCGGATACCTGGCAGACCCAAGTGGGGACACACTGCAGTGGCGGAAGGGGGATGCACCGGTCCGGGAGGTGGATGGGGATCAATAGGGGGACACACGGGGAGGCCCAGGGGTGAGCGCTCGGCTGCCTTAGGCCCTCAACATCTTGGATGACCCGGGTTGCCCGCAGGTCAATGCCGCAGACTACCTCTCACACTACTAAGGTTAGCCACCACAGTGAACCTGGGTGGGGGAGAGGTGACCGGGAGTGGGTAGGTGCCCACGGGAGGATGCAGAGCTCTGGGAGGCTTCTGACGGACTCACGGGGACATACTGATTAGCCTACTGTTGCTAAGCTGTCAAATCGTTGGTTTGTTACCTCAGTAGAACCCCCATATGCAAAACTGCTTCAGTTAAGAGCCAACCGGGGGAAGACAGACGGGAGTCTGGGAGTGAGTGTGTACCCAGAAGGGAATACGGGGCAATGAGAGGCCTCTAGCTGGCCCTCAGGGTATTGCTGATCTGTTTAAAGTAATTAAGCTGTTGATTTTGTTAGAATGTAACTTCAGTTAAGCCATCTCATGCAAAAACACTTCTGTTATAAATTGTTCAGTCACGTACATACTTCCCCTAGGCTCAGGGACAATGAGCAATTCAACGGAGCCGGACGTTAGCAGTAGCCTCACGACTCTCGATACATCATACTTCATACCGGCTGCTATGGCCCTGCGCAGCGGACCCTATCTGTAAATTTGATCGAGCCCAGGGACCTCGCCGAAGAGGCACGTATACCCTGGTGCACCGGACCGATCTAGGGTCATAGTTGTCTACCTATACTAGACACCCTCCAAACCCCCCCCCCAGCCCAGACTGACATACCTGACTGTCCCTCACTGAGTGACACACATTACTACCCGCCCCTGCCCTTACATCCCTCCCCTTCCCTCCCTATTATCCTCTCTGACAGTCTCATTCACCTCCTCCCTCCCCTAATACACTTCTCATTCACGCTTTCCTCCTGATACCTTCCCTCCCACTACACTCACGCACTCCGCAGCAATGTCTCTGGGGTTCCTACCGGCTCCGCTCAGGATCTGGTCTAACAACACCAGAGGCCTCAACATCCCTGAGAAACACAAGCACCTTCTGCGGAAGCTATGCTCCTTCAGGGTATCTGTAGCATTCCTGCAGGAGACACACTTCAAGGAGGGGAGTGCCCCCATGATGCGAGACGGAAGATTCCCCCAGGGATTCTATGCAAACCACCGAGATACCAAACGTTCGGGTGTGGCCATCCTCTTGGCGGGAAGTGTTCCATTCCGGTGCACCGATACCAAGACAGACCCGCAAGGGAGGTACCTTTTCGTGAAAGGAACTATAGCGGATCGCCAATACACATTGGCCAATGTATACTGCCCCAACCGCGGCCAACACACATTTTTGGCCCGAACGCTAACACACCTGGAGAAATTTAGGGAGGGGCTCTTGATACTAGCAGGGGACATAAATCTCCCCCTAGACCCACGGGTGGATACGTCTCGGGGGTCCAGCGCCATACCGGACCACTGTGTGCGTAGGACCAAACAAGCCCTAAATAGACTTGGCTTGGTCGACTGCTGGCAGGCGGCTCACCCAGACGGGAGGGATTACACCTGCTATTCGGCCCCCCATAACCAGTATAGCAGGATAGACTACGTCTTCGTGGCGCAGGAATACCTCCATCTGCTCATGTCCGCAGATATAGGGATCCACAGAGACTCCGACCATGCCCCCGTGTCCATACAACTCAAATCGCCCCTCTTCAAACCGAAAGAACGCCAATGGAGACTCAACGAAAACGTACTAACAGACGCGGAATGCACGACTCTGACCTCACAAGCACTCACTCAATACTTTGAAGATAACTCCTCCCCCGAGGTCCCATCGCTGATCACCTGGGAGGCGCATAAATGCGTAATTAGAGGGCACTACATCAGCCTCTGCACACAACGCAAACGAGAGAGCTCCAGACTAGTCCTGGACCTAGTCAAGCGGATAGCCGACCTAGAAAACCTACATAAACAGGAACTGACAGACGACATATATCTGCAACTGACGGATGCGAGAAGACAACTCAAGGACGTACTCTCCCAGAAACTACTCAACGTGATCCGCAGGTCTAAACGCTATTTTTATGAGTACTCCAACAAATGCGGTAGATTGTTAGCCAGAATCCTGCAACAGAGGCAGAGGCAAAACCACATACACAAAATCAACACAAAAGACCGGCAAGAAACGCAACTCCCGGCGGAGATTATGCAGGCGTTCAGGAATTATTACATGGACCTCTACAACCTTGCTGATACGGCTAGCGCTCACGACCCAACAAGACACGGCCGAGACCTGACGGACTATCTCTCCAGACATGTCTCCCGGAAAATCACCCCAGAGAAAGCAGCAGACATGGAACAACCTCTGTCTCTCGAGGAACTATATGCGGCGCTCAAACTGACCAAATCCAACAGAGCGCCGGGACCAGATGGCCTCCCCGCAAGTTACCTACGCACTTTTAAGGATATGCTACTGCCACACCTACTGTCAGGCCTGAATTCGCTCCTCGAGGGCCAGAATTTTCCGGTCGATTCGCTCCGTGCAGTAGTAACGGTCTTGCCGAAAGAGGGGAAAGACCCAGCATGCTGTGCAAGTTACCGCCCCATCTCCCTCTTAAATGCAGACCTGAAACTATTTGCGAAAGCCATGGCTCTCCGCCTGGCCAGGGTGCTCCCCGATCTGGTGCACCCGGACCAGGTGGGTTTTGTCCCGGGCAGGGAAGCTCGGGACAATACTATCCGGGCGCTTAACATCATCCACTCGGCCGGAGAGCGGGGAGAAGGACTGGTCCTCCTATCCACTGATGCGGAAAAGGCCTTTGACCGAGTGGATTGGGCATACCTCGCAGCCACGCTTCAGTACATGGGCTTCGGTCCCAATATAAGGACCTCGATAGCAGCATTATACACGAATCCGACGGCGCGAATCCGAGTCAACGGCGCCCTCTCCGACCCGTTTCCCATTCGGAATGGCACAAAGACATGGGTGCCCCTTGTCCCCCCTTCTATTTGCCCTCTCTTTGGAGCCGCTACTGGAGGCGGTCAGAGCTGATGGGAGAATCATGGGACATACAATAGGGGGAACGGAACACAGGGTTGCGGCTTACGCCGACGATATGCTCTTCTTCCTAGAGCGGCCGCTGATCTCCATGCCAAACCTGCTGAGGCTCCTCCGAGAATTTGGGAGGGTCGCGAATTTGAAACTCAACACAGAGAAGTCAGAGGCCATTAACATCTCGGTCCCAGCCGCATCGGCGTTGCACCTTCGATCACAGTTCAAGTTCAAATGGTGCGAGGTTAAACTAAAATACCTCGGTATCTGGTTGACTAAAAAGCTCGCATACCTCTACCAGGCAAACTTTGTCCCTATCCTGACCACCATTCAGGCCGATATGCAACGATGGACAGACCTTTATATCTCGTGGTTTGGACGCATAAACGCGATTAAGATGAACATCCTACCGCGTCTTCTCTATTTATTTCAGACGATCCCGATAGCTTTACCACGAGACTTCTTCCACGCTATATCCACGGCGATTCTGAGATTGGTGTGGAAGAGGGGAACACCACGAATCAGTAAAGACCGACTGGAGAAACCTAAACACAGTGGAGGAGCCAGATTCCCATCGATCACGGGATACTACCGAGCGGCGCACCTGCTGAGAGTTGTAGACTGGCACACCCAATCGACTGACAAACTATGGGTACGGGCCGAGATAACACAGGCAGAGGGGAAGATCCCTGCGCAACTATGGAGGACGGGAATCTCACAAACCGCCCTCCGCACGGGGAACCCCCTGATAGACGCAACAGTGAAGCTATGGTGCACTCTTCGCTATCCGCAGCAGCTAACTACCCACACCAGCCCACTAACGCCCATCTCATGTAACCCAGAAGTGGGAGGAGGAATGATGCCAGGGGAACTAAAAAGTTTCTCAAGATCAGACTGGATCTACATGCGCCAATGGTGCGAAAATGGCACCCTCAAAACCCTGACGGATTTGCTCCCTGACACAATCCCCACGTTCCTAGACCGGTTCCGATACCTGCAGGTCCGGTCGTACTACTCAACCACGGTAGCCAAACAACAATTTCACCGTGATCTCACACACTTTGAAACACTTTGCGCAAGTAGGCGGCACATGGAACGGGGGATTTCGACCCTATACGCAATGCTTATAGGTGGGAGAAATGAGCCGCCTCCGAAATTTATCGCCAGATGGGAAA